TTCGAAAGGAGTTCTCTAACATTACGCTTCATGTTCTGTTTCAATGACTGCTGGGAGACCCGATCACTCCCTAAAAGAAAGAAGCATTCCTGTTAATTAATTGAACCAATAACACCAATTACAAACATAACAAGAAAATGTTTAAATTGTGTCATAATATATATATATGTTTACTGGTTTACATAATACTTTGTCAAATGCATGGGTCCCTTCCCTCCCACCTACAGGTATCATAAATAAAAGTAAAATACTGAACTTTTTCTTTGGAAAGGAAAACAACCTAAAAAAGAGGGTGCAGGAGAAACTTAAAAGAGGAACTCACTGTCTGAAGATGTAGTGCCATAGGTTATAGGACTTCCCTGCCTCCATCAGGGCAATGATGATGGAGGCAGCAAGGACCTCCAAAATGTTGGCAAACTCCTACCAGACTACACAACGCTACAACCCAGAAGATAGCCATCTTCAGACTCACCGCCACAAAAACCTCAATTAAAACTCACAGTCTGTCCAGTTCACCCAGTATTTCTCAGGGAATTAAATCAAGAGATTAGATAAAAATGTAATTTACAGAACGAAAAAAGTTATGTTTACAAAATTTTGGTTAAAAACTTCATGGGAAGAGGCCACTTTAGATACTGTCTAGCTGTAATAACAGACATGTCTTATGGACTAGTATTTCCAATCGTACCACAACACAAAGTCAAATTTTCCACTTTCATGTAAATACCAGTACATTTCTTACATTAGAAGGTAGTGACGGCAATCATAGTTTGTTCAGATAAAAGTTCTGTTTACTTCAATAAAAAGTATTCCTTTTAGATTACACGAGTTAAGCTCACTAAATATAATGGCCTCTGCAACCATGTTCCAAAACCAATATGAAATCTCTTTCACAGTGTGAATTATTCACAATTGTGGGATAAATCTGTAGGTTAAGAATGGGAAAAATTTCTTTGTTTCCAATGATTCAAGTTATGGTCTCTGACCATCCTGTCCTCTGCAAAATGTGAAGAGAGACTTCTGAAGTGAAAGCATTGATAGGGAAGGATTTCAAAAAGAGTAGTACTTCATGAACATACTAAGAAAACTGAATTTACATTATAGTTTAACTAATTGATGAATTTTAAACTTGAAAAACTGGTGAAATAAAGGTTAAATTCTTCATTAAGATGAAAAATTTAACAATCCTCCTATTTCATCACAAACTCAAAACAAGACTAATGCCACTGAATATTAACCTTGGTTTGCGATACGCATTTCCTCAAGTTCCTGCCTCATCCGCCTCTCCCGAAGAATATCACGGCCAATTTCAGATTCAAATCTCCGCCTGTTTGCGTTTGGATCCGAGTTACCCAACCTCCGATGCTCCGGAGACAACTGTGGAGATTCTGTAGGAGCACACACTGGACTATCTGCAGACTCATTCCTGTCGGTTGTAGTTCGATTTTCAGGAGTCTTTATTCGCACAACCACACGTCCTTCTACCACAGAACCACAAAACTTGCTTGCCTCCTGATCGTTCTCAACAGCGATGCACTCAGTGCCCTGTGAACCAATCCCTGTCACTGAATCACAACTATGAATCTCAGGGACACAGTCTGCACCACTGTCAGATTTCATGACGCCATCCGCACAACTGTAATGTTGCCCAACATGACGAGGCTCTTTTTGCTCACAATACCCTGTTGATAGTCCCTCACCACACGCCTCTACAAACGGCACTGAACACTCTTGTGGCATCTCACAACCTCTGATTACATCTTGACTCTCCACAAACTCCTGAGTTACTCCCGTCTCTTCTGCCTTAACCACTTCTAAGTCACAAGTCCTTAATGACTCATATGTTTTATCAACTGATTAACCACTTCTAAGTCACAAGTCCTTCTTAATGACTCATATGTTTTATCAACTGGGTCCATCACATCAAACCCTGATTCTTCCAAAAGTTGGTTTACTTCGTGGATTGACCGCCTGAAATATCTCACTTGCTGGTAAACTTCTCCATCATCTCTGAATTTGACTTCATCTGCATTCCCTAAACTCTTTCCGGAAGAAATGGAAGTAACAGGATTCAACTGTAACAGAATAACACTTACCAATATATGAAACATCGAGTTTTCAATTATTCGGAGTACAGAAAACATCATTAACCAAAAACAAAACACTAATTTGCTTTCCAACTATTTTTAAACTGAAATATAAACTGATCTGTCTTTGATAACAGAACTCACTATACACGAAAAGCTTCTCATTATTTAGCACTTTACGACTTGTTTTATCCCTCACTCGTTGTTAGGTTTTGTGACGAGTGTTTAATGTACGTCGTCGGCAACATTCTACGCATTACATTCACTGATTAAGTTTCCTTCGCTGTGATTATGAAGTCTCTAGCACTTACTGACTTTCGCCAATTGGTCTCACTGCCTTCACAGTCCCCCAAACTCACCAGTTTCTGCGCCAACATTCTCAACTTCCTCCTAATCCTCCCATAAAATATCAACTTGCCTGCCATCCCATAAAACATTAAACAAACCATGAACAACCATGCAATAAGATGGCAAACTGGACATCACATTAAAAGACAAGTGAACAAGGCAATGTATAAGAAACAAGCCACCTTTAATGGTCTAACCTCATGACATCATATGGATGACGATTTTCATTCCTCGGAACAAAACATCCACAGCACAAATCACTGTTACCGAGTATCTGCTGGTAAGTGGTACGGTTCCACAACGATCTTACCTGAACATCCTCGTACAGATGCTCCTCATCACAACTGCTGTTCGGCACATTTTGGTACACCTGCTGCCTCTTGCAATCTGGAGACAACTGCAAACCATTGCAGTCTTCCTCATAACGTGCGGTATTTGCAGGTTCAGGTGCAACATCATGCGGTAGCCTCTGACCATCATCTGCTATGGATTCATAAACATCACGGTCCTTCCTCCTGGATGGGACATTTTCATACCTAACCGTAGCCTGAGATTCAGCTACTAATGGACTAGTATTTTCTACTAATTTATTTTCTTCTGTGTGCACAGGACCAATCATATTGACATATTTAGAATCATGAACTGCCATTCCGTTAGAACGGTCGTTAACGTCTGACATGTCCACATTCGTAACTGATCCCAGCACATTCTCATACCTCACCCCACCACACTTTGCTGCCTGTGTAAGCATATTTTCATAACTGTTCTCACCATCTAAATTTGGTGTTAGTCGTGGGGTTGGGGTGGGCGAAGGGGAGAGACTGGGTGCACCTAGCCGATGATACTTCGTGCTGCCAGGTGTGGCAGGACTAGGTGTAAGTTTTGGATCATAATCTGGCGTGTTGGTGGTACTGCTGTTGCTACAAGTTTCTTCATCCAGGAGTGGTTTGTACAGGAGCAGCGGTGTGTCAGGAGTCGGCAATCCAGAGCTGTGCAGCGTGAAGCTTTCGTTATCGGACACCGTCGCTTCTGCCAGTGATGGACTCGTATTGTTTGTATGAGCACTGGCTGTGGTGATGGTGTTTGGAGGACTGTCAGCTGCAGCTGGGGAGGTCACACTGGGAGACTTCAGATCAGGAACATTTACATACTGATAATGCGGATGAACTTCGGCTTGCACCAACAACTGCAAAAACAAATGAATTACCTCGGTTACCCAGATACAAAGCATGATTTTTTGGGCATTTCAATGTGTCAAAAACCAAGAAAAACTAAAAAGCTGTCCCACTACACACCATTTAGGTGCTTGAGGGGAGAGCTGGTATAGCTCCTACTCATTCTTAACCTCAGCACTAGGTGGGGCTGAATGGTTAATGTCTTGCCCCAATCATGCTTTACCCCCAGGAAAGGACCCCAATACCCATTGGATAGGAGGCTAGGTGGGCCCCAGAGCTGGTCTGGATGCAAAGGCTAGAGGAAAAATTCTCTCCCCCCGCTGGGGATCAAACCCTGGTCGTCCCCAGCTCACCAAGAGTTATCTTAAACTGATGTATCATGTAACCCCAAGTGCCACTATTTGTCATCACTAATATTGGAGTTACAAAGAGGAAGGCATTCAATAACATTTTTTTACATTTCAGTGAACTTTTATTTATTAATATATTAAATTACTGTACAGTGTGCAAAATACTGTACTTACGATCTTCAGGGGAAAAGAAAACGTATAAAGGTATAATGCAACGTAACAACTTTTGCGATAGCACTTACATGTTACCATGTCATACAGTATTTCTCTTGACTATGAACTAATTTTTTAGAACAAAAATACAAACCAACTTTGAAAGCAAAATTTGTCGTACTTGTAGAATAATACTTCTGCATGTTTTCATCTTTGCATTTTTTGATAGGAAACAGAAAGATTCTGAACTGAATGGCAGCAACCAGTCCCCAAATTTAATTTTTTGTTAATTTATGTACAAATGAAGTTTTAATTTATTGTTGTCAACCCCACATATTTGAACTCTGCTACATTCTGAAAACTCATTAGCGATCAATATATTTTCACTTTGTGCTGTATTTTGGTGACGGGAGACTGGACATATACAGTGGCAGCTCCAGGAAGTGGTGGGAATCATCTGCGTCCACAACCCAGGTGTCTGTTGTCAGTTACACAACAATTAACACAGGTTGTTCTAAAGCATCACTGAATTCAATTACCAAAAATTCACATGGTCACCAAAATCGCTTTCATCACATCTTCTCTTTACCACATGGCGCTAAAAACGTTCCCATCATTTCTTTTCATCAACCACAAACAACCGACTGGACAGCAGCCCAGTCCGATGTTCTGCCAATCGGGTCCTGGCATTAACATGTAAGTACTGAAGAAGACAATGAAAAATCTCAAAAAAAGTAATAAACTGCTTCCCTGGCTGAAAATCTAACTGGGTACCACCACATATAAATTCGATGAATTATGACTAAAATAATCTCTTGATATCACTCCAAAACAAAAAAACACCCTCGGACTGAGTAAAACTGAAAAGTCCGTAATACATTCTCATGTTTACCCTGAGGAAAGAATACAGAGATTACATGTAAGGCATATGGTCAAATCCTAACCAGAGACCAGATATTCCAAATAAGAAATTAAGACTCTTCACGATTTTCCTAAGTTCCACCAGATAAATGCCGCACATCTTCCTCTCAGATTTTCCCCTATTCATCATTCATAAATATCCTATAGCATGCACTGCTCAAGAAAGCAGTTTGTAGGCGTGTTCTGACAGTATTTCATAAAATGTAGTATCAAACGAAATTAGGCTGACTGATTATGCTGAATTAGAAACGACTGGAAATTAAGAAACTGTGTGAGGAAAATCACAGAATTCCTCAGTAAGGACAGCCAGCTCCTCATCTGAGAATCAGAAATGGCACGCCTCCCAAAATTCAAGTCAAATATAAGACACATCACCTCCCCAAATATAAGTCAGATACCGTGCCATACGTTGACATTATTTTATTCCAAAATTTGATACAGAATCGTAAAGCAACCCTATATACAAAATAAAGACGCTGTATGAGTGATACCTGCTGATTCTCAGGACTCTGGCTGTCAATGTAGCGCAGCTCTGCTGTCGAACATGCTAGTCGCTCCTCCAGTCTCGATCGCTTAGAACGACTGGAGCCCTGAGGTGAGATAGGAGCTCCACATGTCTTTTGTTTCTTTGGCGATGGGTCAGCACTGGGGCAACCACTCAGTGGGTCCTCGGGCCTTGCACGAGGCACTGATACCCGCTTGCTGTACACCTACAATTCACCATCACAGTTTCTTCACTGATCGTAGCTTCTTATGGAGTTATTTGTTTGTTAGTTTGTTTCATGCCACTTTCCTGTTAATTTCACTGTAACCTATGCAAAATAAACTTTGGGAATTCAAACACTTGGAAATGACAGGAACAAATAAGTTGATGCCCATTATGTAATAAGCAGCAAATTTTTTTCAAGAAATGCATGGTACCATCCAGTTCAGAGCCCTTCATTTTTCATTTTTGTGTCTACTTTATCAAACTTACAAATAATAAATATTGGTTGTTGTTTCTATGGCACAACAGCCCGAGGTACTTAATGTCTCCATCATCAGGGTGATCACCCTGATAATGGAGGAACTAAGCACCTCTAAAATGTCGTCAAACTTCTACAAGACTATATGGCACAATATCACAGAAAATAACCATCTTCATAATCGCCACTGTGAGAAACTGAGACCTCACGAAGATTTGTGCACATTTCTCATCTCATACTCACCATCTGTTGTCGGACCCTGACTGCAGCACCCATGCGAGGTGATGCCTGCGACATGACGCTGCCACTTCCCGCTGATGCAGATACCAGTGTTTCATCCTCTGAAAATATTTGCATCTCTGATTCTTCCAAGTCAAAGTTCAGATGAATCTCACTGAGATCCAGAGATGAGGAGAAGTGGCCTTCAGCATCCTCTTCTGGCAATTTGGATGGCCTACAGATGCGACAACATGGATTACAGACGCGGTTACAAGGCTCTGAATCCGATACTCAATAAAATAAGATTCTGAGTTAAATGTATTAGTAATATTTTCTGTTATGACACAATTTCAACAGAGATAAATTCTACTGCATATGGACAGGCCTATGATAAGTTGTGTCTCGACATGTTTCTGCAAGTACAGGCAAGTTCATAGTTCATTTAATTGCTTCAGATGTTATGGTTGGTCTTAACGTCCGAGTATTATTACATGGCCATTTATCAACGTTTGAGAGTAATGAGCAATGCACGTGGATTAATTTTTGCTAGAAGCCTGGAAGGATGGTAACGTAAACAAATCAAGTAGCATTTGTAAATGCAACAATAAATAAAGCACACGTCTTTGAGCAGTCGAATATTTTAGAGAGGGACAAATATCCGTTAAAAGTACAAGCATCCTAGATGGCCTTCAACAAGTGAAATGATGGACTGGTAGCTCATGTGTGTTAATTAAAGTAGCCATGAATTTTGGCACACCCCTGAATCAACCAACAAGAAGACTGAAGAAAACAAGTAGATGAACGCAACATGGAATTATAAACCCGCAAGGCAAAGTGTTGGAAGCCAGAGGACAATGAGGCTATTACAGACACCAAGAAGGCTAACCTGTGAAAACAAGGAGAACGAAAGAAGAAAATGTCTCTCGCCAAATGCTACTCTGTAAACACATGAAAACATCAAAGCTGGAGTTATGTTACCTCACTACAGAACTGGCGTGGACTGGTGTTTCTGCCAGGTGATCAAAGTACGAGTCATGTGATACAGAGCGACTGTGTCCACTCGATTTATTGCTAGCTGGCTCCGGTGACAAGGTGTCGGGGTCCGAGTTCTGCTCGGTACTGGGTTGCGACTCAAGGTCCAAAGCAGCGGAGTTTCGACACGAGTTAGCTCCAGATGCAAGGGATTCGGCGCTCTTCACAGGACGCAGTCTCCGCCGTCCCTGAGCCAGCTCATTTTCAGTTACGGCTTTCTCCTGTTCATTAACATTTCAGAAATGTCATATCACGTGGTGAAAGTCACAACAGTTCTGAGCCCTCTATTATAGCACCTTGCATCTGCCTCTCCTGAACAACAAATTTAGAAGCTGATTTCACTGTTAAATTTTTCTGAGAAACATTTTTCCCCTTGAATCTATGAGTGTGGCATTCATTTGTACTATTTTTTTAATAAGATGAAGAAGTAACTGGTAAACTTGGGCAAACATTTCATAAATTATCTAAAACGGAATGTTTTCAGTAAAAGTTAAAAATATTAATTGACAAAAACAGCATGAAACAGTGGCACAACAACATTATAAATTGCTTTGGTGAATATATGAGTATGTCCACAAGACTGCATTTAGTTGTTTGAGGAATGTCTTCTCTCGTGGCTGTTTATTGGTGTTAAACCTGCGGATTCTGCTACCAGGGAGTCAGTTAGTTAGTGTTCATATAACAAAAAGGACAGTTTAGTTTAATATCATACAGAATTACAACTCCAGAAAGAGACATGGAAAAGTAGACAAAGTCATACAGCTACATGGACAGCCCTACCCAATTATCTATGGAAAGTACATTCACCCTTCATCAGCCATCATGCTCAATCTCATCCACTGGCCTTAGCAGAATCCACTTTGTGGATGGCAGCACCTCAGATATGGATTCATTCACCTCACCGGATCGATGAGAGTCAACTTTCTCGTTACATCATTTCCAATCATGAAGATATTTCTTACACTCTTCTAATTTGTGGATGAAAGCATGGACTGACCTGATTGAGACCCAACTCCGATGGTGTTGAAGCTTTAAGTTGCTGTGGTCCCGAGCTCTTACGTCCAGATTTGCTAAAGAAAGACTTCCAGCCCAATGGAGATCTTTTACTTGAGCTTCCACTGCGTTTCCGGCCAGAACCCGGAAGCTCGATAACTGTATGGTACTTGGCTGGAAGGTTTGCCGGTCCACCACCTTGAGAACAATATTTTTTTGTTGCAATAATTAAATTACGTCAGAAAGACTATAACATCCACCACCAGAGAAAACAGCTTACAGAGACAACGAAGCACAATCCTAAAACATAGGCGTAATAATTCCATTCTTCACCACAGGGACAGCATTTATAGGATATGTTCTATATTGAGGATAAATATTCCGAGGAGTGGAGGGTGGACACACACACACCACAATCCATTACAATCTCTATAACAATACCTGCACAATTGTCACAAGCATAGATTGCTGGAAATACAGAAAAAATAAGCTGTCCATAAATTAACCTTGACCCTAAAATGAAAATTAAGTAAATAACAGAAGCATGAACCCTTTTAGAACATACAATGACTAAAAACTTAAAATATACAGTGCCATGATCCAACTAAAAATCATGCCTCAAATTCTACGACAGTTTTTGCACAAAATAAGCGATGTATTTATGTCTTGATCAAAATAATTTGGTACCTTCCACATAGATTCGCACCTTCTTCAGTGACCGTTTCTCGCTATCTTACTCCGAGTTGATACTGAAAATCCAAGTTGTTTCACCGAGGAAACAGATACCCACAGTGTCAGAAGGTGCTTTATCCATATCGTGCTGATTCCTCCCACCCCAAATTTATTACAAATGGAATCAATTAAACATTTCAGATAATCATTCAGCACCAGACAGCACCTAGTTAAGTAACTCGTATAATTCTCAGTAGATGGCTGTTGCTCGATTGAACACACTATGCATAAGTCATCTTTACATCAGGTGGATGGTATAATTCAGAATTAAGGTGACATCCAGTGTGTTTGGACTTCCTGTAAACCTTTGTATATAATACTGAACCCTTTTTGTAACTAGAATATCTGGATTCTGTTTTAACAGTGAACTGAGTAGATCTGAGACTGGATGTGACTGAGAAACTCCAATAACCTCTCTGAGATGTGTGGCCACACCACAAAAGATCATCGATGATCCAAGTCACGTGGTCAGCTTTAACTGCACCATATCTACAGCTAATTTAACAGTGTTCCATGAACAGATAAGTTCCTGTGGGCATACCATCTTTTCATTGGAAAAATACTGTCGTCCACCTTGGAATATATGGTTTGTAGACAAAATTTCAACAATCCCATAACGTCCTCAACTTGCAAGGGAGTGTATTCTGAAAGTTTCTTACGACCTGTAACACGTCATCAAATGGCACACTGGTAAAACGGCCACAACATCGAAACTGACCACGGCATCGCAGTCTTTGAATTGAAGGAATTAAATAAAAATAAATATGGCTAAGCGTGGACTGCATAAAAATGTATTTGTGCGACAATTTTCTGTGCAATAAAATGTGTATGTCAACTCTTACCAACTTCAATGTACTCCTGTTCTGCTTTGCCTGATGACAATAAAGCTCGTGTGCGGGCTTCTTCAAGGGACAACAATTTGGTGGGTGTGGAGATGGCAAGAGATTTAGGTCGGCTGCGCTTTGGAGTCACTGGAAACAATAAATTGTACGAACTACGTGTAGGTGGCACTACTTATACAATCTCAAACAAATGCCCAATGTAACTGATACAGCATTATTCAAAACTCCAAAACAACATACAAATAGTCCTTATAGTTCCCGAGAAACATGGAGTAATTACGTCTGTTATAAAAGAGATAAAGTTACAATCTGAAACGCACTAGGAAACTGCATTACCTTGAGGATGAGGCAGGGTGCTTATTGGCGGAAGACCATCACAGAAGATGAGGTCAGTGTAACAGACAAGAAACTCTGTGACAACAGCCTGAACTCCAACACCCTGCAAGGCAGCCACTCCACCCACTTCAAGCTCCTTACAGCGCAGAAGATTTGGAGCCCACACAATGGCCACATTACGAGGGGTCATGCCCGTCATGTGTCCACGTTCTGCTACCCGGGCCAAGTGCCGCATCAAATATTCCAGAGTTCTGTAAACAGTATAAATAATCCATTTCACAGCATATATTTTCTAAATTAAAGCACATTCTACTAATCACTAAAAATATCCCACAGAAATCCTTAAATCATATGAGGAATTTAAAAAAAATTTCACTTAAAATGTCCACTCTGTATAATACTTCGCCAGACTGTTCATGAGGATAAAACAAAAGTCACTCATCTGCCAATAAAATACCAGGTGACAAGTAATGAAGTAGTAAGAAGAAGAATCAAAGTGAATGTCTTGCCTGGCCAAGTATTAAAATTTCTCGGACAAACTGATACATTTAACTGAATTTAAGCAACGAAGTTGCTTGTCTGTACATTCTCTGGTGCGTTAACTCGCGTTATAACCGATATCACTAAGTTCCCATACAAACAAACCTGTAATGGGGTGGTGGAAGTTTCTGCACAGCGTCTCTCATGCGAAGGAGTCTGTAGCCCTCTTCCTGACTTGACTGAACAGCGTTTACAAACGTGTGGTAGAGCTGGTACGTACACAGAGGGTTTGGAAGCTCACGGAAATACATCTTGAGCAGCGATGCAACCGAGTGGATGTCCTGAAGAATGGCCTCATCCTCGTACAGCGCAGGTACCCGATCTTCATCAAATGCATTTCTGCAAACATTTAAATTATATAGCAGACTCCCAACTGCGTCGGGAAATATACTTTTTCCGGACAATCAAAACCCAGGATAATCCACAAAAGTGAAAGTAAAATATGCGGAACGTAAGTTTACTTACAGACATACAATACTTGCAGTTATACAGATTTACTAATAACAGAATGCATTTTATACAAAATTTAATAAAGTACATTCCAACTATTTTTAAAAAAAAGGATTCCAATGGACAGTAAGTTTTAGCAACAACTGATGTGTGTTAACACTTTAAATAATGTGACTGTTGTATTTATTCCCTAGTTTTTTAAACATTCTAACTTTTATGACAGATTATATAAATTAATTTTTAATTTTTGTTCAAACAGACCCTGGTTAATCAGGAGTCTACTGTAATCAGTAACATCAGCTTTACATCCTCTGCCAGAAGAGAAACGTGGTCTTAAGACTCATTAACTGCAGTAAGGATATTATCTGATCCATACAGCATTCCTCTACCACAGTCGCCTAAGCCTAAGAGCTCTTAACACAAACATTCTTCTAGCACAGAAATAATATATCAACAAATGAAACCAGCATAAATGTGTATAAAAATGGCTTTCAGGGTGTAGTCATACCACGTGTTGAAGAAATGTTGAAGTGTCTGCAAACACTGTTGCTGTCATCTTCAGAATGAATGTCTACAGCATAAAAGGGATGCTGTAAAAAAAGTCGTGGCAGTGGGAGACGTGTGCGAGGTGACATGATTCAGCGGCAGACCAACAGGACGGTTGGTGGTAGGACTGATGGGAGTTGGGATGTAATTTTATTAAATGATTTTTGGATGGTATCGATACCTTTATTCGTTAATAACCTGGAAATTGAATAAATTTCTACCTGGATGACTGCTCCTGATGTAAGGTTTAAATCAGACAAACAGGTTGTCACAGCCACACTAGAATTTTGGAACACATTAGAGACCCTTTGAGAATCAATGATCAGCTGTAGAGAAATACTCTATAAAGACCAAACATGCTATCAACTTTGACAAAAGAGAAGTCCTAACCAACTTCCAGGCTTACTACCCCTGCATGAGGAGTCAAAAGAGAGTCCACAATACCTCAGGCAGTATATGGGCTGGTGTACGAGGTTCTAAAATAACATACGTTAAAATACACACAAAACAAAAACGACGTAGTTCAAAACTAGACAAATATGTGCTTATATCAGACTGTAATAGATTACCTGAGTTTCTGGATATTTGATGTAACACCGGAGAGCCGATAGATGCCATCCACAATACCATGGCTTTCTATGAACTCAGCACAGCACTTCAAAACCATTGGAACTAGAAAAAAAAAATTCACAGAAATTGAGTCTCCTGAAACAAAAGAATTACAGTCCATGTAACAAATTAATCTGTAGGTTCAAAAATGTTAACACTGGCCCATGATCTGATCACATTCTAACTGAGCTAGAATCTAGTCTAATTCACCATAACCCATATCTCAAGATTTGTTACGATTTTTCCTCCAAGAACACTGATATTTCCAGTGGTTCAAATCTGAAGATTTCTGCAGCAAAATTTCAGATAATCTGTGCTATTTCCCCACTCACCATGAGATAGTTAACATCATACTCTGACAATGAAGTATATTCATATTTTATTCTGCCACAATACTGAAGGCAAAACTGCAGCATTTCTGTCTGTCCAGTCAATTCAACTTGAGAACCACTGGATGGATCTGAACGAAATTTGATGTGGAACTTGTACCTATTCTGTACAACCAAAACAATTGTACTTTTGAATACTCTACAAGCAGCGATAACAAAATGATGGATGAGGAAAGTTGCGAGGTAGACACCGAGATGCTTTGACGCGGTAGCCATAGCGGGAACTATCGAAGAGGGTGGATTTAATACTTCTTAAATGAATTTTGCAAAAAATACACAAAGATATGTGTATTACAGTATGGAATATATTTTTTTCAAAACCCCGAAGGGACTTTGTGGACACACTGTATAATCATTTCTAACTGTACTAAAAACATAGGTATAAGCGCATGTCTCCCTACACTAGAACTATTAACATGCTGTCACCTGAACTTACTTTCATGACCGGAGTTGAGTAAATGTTCGCCAAGGTCACAGCCGAAAACTCTCTCCTTCAGTATTCCCGATTGCTTGAGTCGCCTTCTCGAAGGACGAGACAGGATGAAGGAGCGGAAGAAAGCGATGAGCTTGCCGTGCTTCCTCAACACAGGTTTGCTAGGCTGTTCGGGTGTAGGCTGTTGGGCCAGGTGGGCTGGAAGCTGCAGATTGCGGGGCACTTTGTCTCCAATAACTGCCACACATTCACAAGGGAAGAAACCGACCTGGAAGCCTCGTTTGCCACGCCACCACACAGATTCTTCTGGGGGCGGCATGTCAATCACGGAAATCATGTCACCTACCTGAAGGCAAACCGACTGAATTAAAATCTGGACATAAAGACCATCGATCACGTTCATAAAACTTTTACATCAGACATCAGTCACTCTGAGCAACGTAACGGATTTAGTCACAAGACAGCTTCACTGCTTTAACCTTCCTACCTCCAAACCTACGGCTGCAACCAACAAAATAGCTGTCAAGCTATTTATTATGAAATTATCAAACAGATGCCTCTCTGCGCAAGACAAGGAGCGGAAACTGTCGAAAAGAATATATCTATGAGTCCGAGCAGTCTTATCATACGTATTAATAGCGCGAAAACAGTCTCTCAAGCATCAATCAGACTGGATTGTGGCGGACGTCGCAGAACATCACTTTTACTAGCTCAATTGTTTTATTCACGCAGAGAGAATTAAATGTTATATCAGTCGCTACAGCCAAGTTTAAAATTATCGCAGAAGAGTCATTTAAAATAACAGACTACGGATGACCAATGAAGAAGAATGACCAAACTAAATGCGTTACGTGTAAGACACTGTTCTTCACCAGCTCACTGTACTGTACAGCTAGGATAAATGACTTCAAGAATACGGAAAGATTTATTTAGAGGTGCTACAAAGTCTCCTGAATTATGATAGTAATGAGGGTTTAAAATATCAACCATAAACAGTGCAGACAGGACACTGTCACGAACATGGAAATTTCTACATCAGGGATCAGCGACATTTTAAAGATAAGCGGCAATTTTCTGAAACATTCTTAGAAAAAAACAGTTTGGAGAACATTATTTAATTCAGCCAATGCCAGAGACAGATTTTACACCAACTTACCTGTACTGATGCATATAATTTTATTACTGTATTTAATTAGTACAAGCTAACAATACACAATAAGACTTTTACCCCTACATCAAGAAAACCTGATTTTCCATTATGATCTTAGAGATGTTAAAAGATAATTATTTACAGTTTCCATTAAAATAAAAGCAGGTAAAAGAAATTCTGTAACATAAATAATTATTTTAGATATTACGGTTGAAGAGCCGAGTTATTAGCAATCGTCCTTCGTATTCAGGAGGTCCCAGGTTTAAATCTCGGCCCAGAGACCAGCTATCCTGACAGGATTTTCGTGGTTTTCCTCATTCCCTCCAGCCAAATGCTGAGATAGCACCTTGAATTAGGCCACAACCATTTCCTTCTACATCCTTTCTGGTTCACTGTTCATTATCATCCCCTCATTCGACGCAATATAGCCGAAGACACCGAAAGTGTAATTAAATAAAATGAAAATAAGAAATTGTATTCATCAAATTCAGTTCTGATCCACATATGACAAAATAAACCAGGACAACTCCAAACATAAAAATGATCTACTGGGAGACCAGAAATCAGACGGACCGATTGTCTATAAACACACAAACAAAAACGACAACACGAACAATACTAGCGCTGAAGTTAGTTCAAGTTGCATCTTCCTACACCTGTACGGGAGAGACAACGGACTGATTATGCGGTACTTGCTTCAAACGAAATCTCATCTCCCGCCTGAGCCGTGTATCGCTTCACTGAATACGCCGCGGCGACAGCAGGAGTATTTATGGGACAGTTGTCACCATCCGGAACAAGGAGCCGGCGCCCTCGATTGTCCAACTCCAGCCAGTTCAGCACTGGACCACAGTTGATTAAGTTTCCAGCTATCTGAGAGAAGCGACTCAGATATTCAGTCAGCAGCGAACGTACACTTTCCTAAAAGTAAGAAGAAAAACTTCGGCCTTTCGTTCAATTTATATTAATTAATTCTACATTGTATTACCTTAAAAAAGTTCAAATATGCATAGCGTGACAGTTATTGTGGATTCATCAAAATTTGGCCTTTGACCTTTTAGTGGGCATTGTGCCTGACGCCCTTCTAGCACACAATATCAACACGGTGGATTGTTCCGTGTGGTTCCACGGCTAAATGGGGATTCTCTCCACGGGGCCGTCTCATCTGGTCACTTTTATGCACTGAATGACGGGTAGGCATTCACATAAAATGCCTGTTCTATTTTTTTTAACAATTTTAGTCAAAAATGTACATACATCAAAATAATAGTGTCCATATTTATTTTAAAAAAAATAGTCAAAAAAATTGCTAATCCTTATAAGCATATTTCATATTATATACACTTCAACACATCCTTTTACCTAATTAACAGAGCCAACAAATAAAAAATGTTCCATATGAATCCCACAGCGTAAACGTCATAACCGAGATACCATCATGACTTGAACAGAGTAAAAATCACTTACTACTGGTGGTTAAGCATGGCAGTACCTACTGATACTCAAACAACCCCCCCAACAACAACAGCAGGATGTGGTCAAAGTCAGTCTTCCTGTTATGAAAGTGCGCTATCACATTAAGGTTCTCGATCCGGAAGGCGTCCGTTAGAAACTGGTTTTCATTTGAATACAGCAACATATTTTAGTAAACATTTTGGTTTCTGGAGTGCTCGCTCGGGCACGTCGCTCGAATAAAGAAAATAAGACGTGCAAGTCGAAGTCTGGCGAAGAAAATCAATCTAAGAAAAATTCAATCTATGACTAAAAACTGAATTTGACTCAGGACTGTACCCAATGGCTGGCTTTAGTATTAGTGCAGTATTAAGCCTTCATATTCTTATTTCCCAGATAATAAGTCAGTCAGTCAGTTAGTTAGTTAGTTAAAGTACCGAAAGATGTGAAAAACACTTTGAGATCACAACAGACGACGGCGGCGCCGACTTCATTCGAAATTTTACGAATGAAACATTTTATCTCGCAAATCAAAATGTGGTTTCAGACAAATTTTATAGACGTGAACAAAGTGAAATTCATGCTGCTTATGTTTCTTTCATACGCTGACAAACTTCAAAATAAATCTGATTATTTAATGTCAAAAATATGGTGAGCTATAAAAAACAGCAGCCAAAATAATGAGAACACGATGACAATTTCTTCTAATGGAATGGACAAGAACACAAATAACTTTCCCTTACTTGAATACCTAACCTGAATATAAAATTAAACATGGCACGTACATAACTAACATAACCTCCTGTTCGTCTAGTTACATATACATATCAAAACAAAAACGTTCCAGGCAGACTTCGATGTTTAAAAATATTTCAAAATAATTTTAAAGTAAAGAATACCTGAACAGATGTTCCAGTGCTACATTTCTTTCTTGAGAACAGAAAATCAGTTTCAAAACATTACTCCCCCTCACCTCTTGTTTGTCTCCTGGTATATTGTCTTCCGGCGGAAGCTCCTGAAGTCCCGAGAACTTGCGATCATATATGCAGCGATGCAGCTGTTGATCTAGCATACAAAAGTTCTCGTATGACCTCCTCAGCACCCAAGTTTTACCTTGTGAGGTCACGGCTACATGCCACCACTTGTTTTCGGAGTCCTCGCATGCCAGCGGCTTGAGTTCCTCGTCATACAGACAAACCTAATGGTACAGACCACAATAAGACGGTTGTTACTACAGCGTCCATCAATCAAAACAACAAATCTCTCATCTATCCTTCCATTTATTAACCCATTATCCCATTAATTCAATCCTGCAGCAACGCAGATCAAATTGGTCAACTACAAACTTTCTGCGGTATGATTCGGGCATCAATTTTTAAAACTCTTCTTTAATTTTACTGGGCATAAATTCAAAATTCTCTTATGCCTTGAGACAAATTACTGCACAAAAATTTGGATGATAACGTAAAAGATTTTCTGTTGAAAAACCACTTCCACTTATTGCACTATCCGCTTCATTTCCAAATGTATTTGATTCAACCACGATAACATTCTATGGTTGTATCAACAGGATAAAAATGCATTCACTGCTCAAGTTGAAGGTCACTGTAACATCCCAACTCTCATAACATCGTTTTTACACTACATGTTGAAATTGTACAACTTCCTAAAAATTACGTAATCTTTGAAACTACGTGAATTTTGAGAATTTTTCATCTCTAAAGATTTAAAGATAATCAAAATAACAAACTTTACAAAAGTTTCCAAACTTCAGAGTATCCTAAAATAATAAAGAATATTCGTATAAAAATGCTCGAAATCACTCAGAATACGGAAAGTAACAATTCTTGATAATTTTTCAACTTCTTAAAAGTTTAAAATAATAAATTTAGGACGTTACAGAAGATTCTAAGTTTAAAAAAATTAAAAACATTTACATTTTTTCAAATTATTAAATTTCAATTCCTCTTCTACTGTCACGTTATGTTGGCATTAATTACGCTGTGTGTAATTTGGCAGGGTAAACACGGGTAGGACCGAGTCGGTACGATGTATTTTATTTTACAACAGGTTTCGTCAGATTTGCACAGGTCTCGACAGGCTTATACACCTCTCCACAGGCTTTGACTCCTCTGGAAGGTTTAGGTTTCACTGATTCAGACACCATTAATCAGTTCTCGACTGGTTGCCACAGGTTTACACAGATCTGGGACAGATTTCAATAAGTTAGGTTATCTTTGGTTAGCAAACGTGTATGTGCATCTATACCTTAACAACGACAATCCCGCTACCCTTACCCCACCTCAGGACTTTAAGCAAGCGTCTCGTTCGTAATAAAGCCTGCAGAAATTTAAAAAAAAAATGTCTTCACGGTGTTAACACATGGCACAACGTGAGTACACAATTTCATAAAAATTATTATACAAATTATTTAAATACCACTAAAACCGCCCGTCCACTGAACGCTCCAGTTCAGAGAATTACTACTCCACCTCACGACTTTGAGAAAGCTTGTCTTTCGTATAAAAGACTGCAGAAATTTAGAAATTATTTCTCTACACTCAGCACCCATGGCATAACATCAATATAAAATTTAATCGAAATTATTACACAAATTATTTACATAATATTAAAATGAATGTCCACCATTACGCGCCTGACCGGAGCACTATATTATTATAATTATCCCATCTATTCACCACTTTATGGGGTATTTATTATTATTATTAACCAACGCAAAAAACTCGCATATAAAAATTATAAAACTCACATACCTTTGCAAAACAGACGCTGAAAGGTTATAACGTAAACAAATATTCCACAAACGTTGTATGGAGTTCCATGCACACTGGTCTCAATTTTTGTTTCCACGTATCAAAATAAAGTATAAAAACAAAAATTAAAGTCATGCATATAATTATCGTCTGTATTTATTCCCATCCAATAAAGAAATGAATACGATTACTTACACCGCAGTGTCATATACGATATCACATCGGAGTCATAACAACTGTGCAATGTTGCAGACAATTCTCTTGCCTTATCGACGTAACAATTTTATCACACACTGCCACAAGCCCCCTAAGGAAAATGATCGATACGAGAATCCACCCGTTATAAACCGCAAGTAATTTAACTTTTGATAACCCCGATGGCACGGAGAGTGTTCAAGGTACATCACCTTATCTTGTAGGTTAATGCCCGCTTCCAGTACATTGATATAAGTGCAAAATCATCTTTCATACACTATAAAATAATGCAGATTATGTAAGATGCATTAATCCTACACTGTTCATGGACACATTACACCCACAATGAATCCTCGATCAACACACAGTGAGAACCGATGAGAATTAAACGCACAAATATGTAGGTTGCAATGTAATAAACACGTTCGCTTTTAATCGTGTCAGTGGTCACTGCTACTTGTAGTCAACACTTCTTGCACCTATCAAACTCAGGAAAGCAACAATACACTACTCCATACTACATACGAACTGGACGCCGCGACACGCGACAGGAAGTATCTTCGCTGAGACACGATATGAAACTGAACGAGCAGAAATTACCACAATCAACCACGTTTTACCATATCGAACAGCGATCTGGGATGCACGGGATTACTGAAGTTGTAGCACACGTTTACTGAGAATACCGTAAGATGGCAATGATATCGCCTACATACCAAATACACGAGACAGGATACGTACAGCGTACTTGAGGAAGGCGTCGTAGCTCTGAACCTTTTGTCTCGCAATCTGTGAAGATCGTCGCATAATTTAAAATTAAAATGCAATTTATAATCAATTTTGGTGTGTAACTGATTTTTTTAAGGAAGTTATGCAAAATGTCCACAGTTGACCTGAACCTTCTTTTACGCGTGAGGAAGTGACATCTCACGCATTTTCAGTCACACTAGCAGGAGATGCTGTTTACTTCGAGTTCATGTGGGTGGCTGTTGTGACATATCGTGGTAGAAACCACGGGCTGTCAAGCGAGCACTCTATGACGCAACTCGTGGTTTGATTTTGTCCATTCCATGTTTAAAATGGCTTTCACTGACTAAACCTCCCACCATATATCCTACTTGTTGCCTGTTGTCAAATGTGTCTGTCCGTGACAGCTGTAGTTAGCTGCTAGATTACGAATAGGTCCCACACCACGGGTGGACACAAACTGATTTTTTAAATTTGATTATTTTCTTCTTCAAGAGACATATTAGTATCTATGAAATAGGAATAGGCATATACCTGAAATGGTCCCAGTTCAACTTGTTCATAGTGGAAGTGAGCACACTCGTCTAGTTTTGGAAAACGTGATCTGCCATCTGCAGGGGAACTTGAAGAGGCCGGAGCTGTTAGTCGCTGAATGCGGATACTGCCACCACGTGAAGACTCCATCTCTGTCGCTGTACAAAGTCCACTCTGCAAATACGACGACCACCATAAGAGTCTACAAACTATTACTGTGATCCTCAAGTATGGTCATTACCTGACTTTTACGAGTAACATAAAAATGTCAGAAACAGATTTAAAGTACAATTAAGACTCATTTTAACCTTAGAATTTCTTTTATTCTCTATGGAAATCCTAAATAAAAACCTTCATACCTAATGTTATTTTATGTACGCAATGTCTGAACTCCTTGTCACTTTCAGGCCCAGAAGCAGATTTTTAATATATTCTTTGACAAACTTCTGGTCAAGCTTAATGTCTATTCTTGTGATTTTTTTTATTTGGTGTTCTGTCTGACGACAGGTCCATATGAACAGGATCCTTCCATCCTTTTCTCGGACTGGGACCTGTTCATATACGTTCTTGGCAGATGATCCAGAAGTGGTTTGCCATTGCCTTCTTCTGTGTGTGAATGGAGTAATTGTTGGGATGCCACGGAGGAAAACTCCGTGTTGCCTAGACCACAGCCTTGCCCAACACAAGTTATAAATTCGGGCACCGCCGGGAATCGAACCCGAGACCCCAGGATTACAAGGCCAGCGTTCTAACCGCTAGACCACCGCGGCATTCCAAGGTCTCTGTAAGATGAAAGAAATCAGATTCCACTTCATCCAGCTTCAATTTACTTACGTAATTTCCAATGACAATATGTTTTCTTAACTAATTAAATGGTTCAGTAATTATAAATGGTTAAAAGGTAAACTTTCCCTTGTTGCCAAACCACGCATGGAGGTGAGTGGTTAGTTCATACTCCAGTCGCTTTATCCCCAGAAATGACATCCGGTGCAAACCGAAGCCCACAAACACAAAAATTAAAATAATAATTTCATCTGTTGTATTGTATGGGTCTGAAACCTGGTCTCTCATGTGAAGGAAGAACACAGACTGAGGGTGTTTGAGAACTGGGTGCTGAGGAGAATATTTCGACGTAGGAGGATTGAAGTGGCAGGAGACTATACCCTTCACCAAATATTAGGGTCATCAAATCAAAGACAAAAAGATGGACAAAGCATGTAGCATGCACAGGGAGTTGAGAAACAAGTACAAAATTTTGGCTGCAAAGCCAAAAGGGAAGAGATAACTTGGAAGACACAGGCATAGACGGACGGTTCACCTTAAAATGGATCTTTCAGAAGCAGGGTTTGGGGGTATAGTTTGAATCCACCAGGCTCTAGTGAACACGACAATGAACCTTCAGATTACATTTTAAGGTGTGGGAAAGTTCTCGACTATCAGACTGTGTTACTGGCTTCTCAGGAAGGAATCAGTTCTGTGGAGTTAGTTACGATAAATTCAAATGTTTGGAGTTATCAGAATTTAAATACAGGCCACTCAACAGTCATTTATTTATATATAAAAAGACGACATCTTGTTAGTTTAACTTTCTTATTTCATTAATAACTCAAGCGCCTAAAATTAAATGGCAGCTGTCTTCACACCAACAAGCTTGAAATGACACACAGCGTTGGCTGCCCTCAAGGAATTCAGTTAAAAAAAGGAATGCAAGCTGATCAACAGCTTGCGAACATGTAATGTTTTTTTTATTCTTACACATTTGTTTGTGGGATAAGATTACGCAGTGCACAGCAATTCACAGATGAAATGGCATAAAAGGTTTTTTACACGCTCCAGTTAAAGTTATAATGACAATCATGCAACACTTGTTCTTCCTGTTAAGATAAATTGCACAACAGATACTTTCTTCTACCAACTTATTTGTAAAAATAAACACAGCTGTACTTCCTTCAATTTAAAAAAAAAGATTCTGTTCTTGTAGTGACAGATACTCGGTCCCCTGATAAACCGTATTGAATTCTGAGTTCATTAAATTCAATTGTTACTATTTTTAAAATTCCTGCACACTGTTAAAATGTGCATTTAAATACTGCTGTTGTGCTCGTCCTGCGGTGATATTTTTTAAATTCCCATTTAAATTTTGCTCTAAAATACTTTATTTATCATAACTTTTGAACTATGAGATATAATTATGAATTTTTCACTGAAATCCTCTTAAAAGATGGTTTTGTAATCTTACCTTATAAGATGAGCACCCTGTGTGTGAGCAATGGGAGCAAGTGGATTAGAAGTCGAGTTTCGTATGGAAGTCCTTGAAACATCCATCCATACACAACCCTACCTCACACTCACTACACCAATAGATAGTGTCTCTCCTTTTCCCGCGTTTCCTGCACACCACACATCTTTTTTGAGGCGTTGCCTTTTTTCCGGTGGCAGGAATACGGTCCGGGAAATGTCGTTCTACGAGTCTTTTGGGTGGCGGATCAATTGACGGACGGCCGTGTACAGGTCGAGGAACACCAGAACCGTGTTTTTCCACGAGGCCTTGTGCTAATAAAATTCTGAATCTTAGTGTGTCTATGTTTTTGTTATTAGGGAGAGAGCGGTACATGACCATCGCATTATGTATTGCTACATTGAGTAGTCTCTTGAATAATGTCATGTACCACTTTTTCCCTCTTTTTAGCTCCAGTAAGTACGGCTGTAGCATCTGATCTTTCAGATCCACTCCCAGCATGTTTTTGTTATAGTCGCGAACAACCACAGGCTTTGTTTGTTCTTGCTTGGCTGTGTTTACGGTCACACACATATCATCTTTGTCGCGAACAACCACAGGCTTTGTTTGTTCTTGCTTGGCTGTGTTTACGGTCACACACATATCATCTTTGTGGTATGTAGATATCATGGTGACTCGCCTCTTATCTTGCCACGCGAGAACTGCCACATCTCCAGAGTGTTGACCACAGTGCTCTCCTTTCTTCAATTTCATATTCTTCACTGAAGGAGGTACATTCTTCCTGTTGGCACGTAAAGTAACAGATAACAGTAAGCAAAATGAATATCAAGTTTCCATCCCTCGTCCAGTATAAATGAGAAAAGACCACACATAGCCAGAGCTAGACTCGCAGAGTTCATACGTTTTGATTCCAAATTTTGCAGCCTTGAGTGGTAGGTACTGTCTGAAGGACAAACGACCTTTCCATAGAGTCAAGGACTCGTCTATCGAAATGTTCTGGTTCGGGAGATACAGATTTTGAAACTTGTTATTTAGGTGCCGAATGACTGGATAAATTTTGAAAAGTTTGGGAGGTCCTTGATATTCATTTTGCTTACTATTATCTGAAAAATGCATAAATTTGTTTATTAGCTCTAGTCTTTCCAGAGATAAAGTCTCAGAAAAAAAGGGAGTGAAAAGCAGCCGGTTTTTTGAATAGTACGATCGAAGTGTAGGCTTTTGAACAATGCCCATCACCATAAATACAGCCAAAACCACGTAAATTTCGTCCAGTGTAACATCTTGCCACTTCCTAATCCTAGAGTGAAATGAGAGAGGATGGGCACTTTTAGAAATTTCCTCCTGAGCATACCTGTTGGTTTCATCTACAATGAGCTGTACAAGAGCTATATCGAAAATGTTTTCGAATGAACTCACGACATCTAGTCCAGCAGTGTCGAACTGGGGACCATATACATTACAAAATGTTTCTCGTGATGCAGGAAATGAACCTATATGTTCCCACACAAACTTACTGGACACCCCTCCCAATCCTGCGTGTACGATTTCTTCCTGTATTTCGTCACTCTCACTATCACTAATCACGTGAGTTCCAGGATTCACAAATTGTGTGTAATCAATGTCAAATACACTATCGTCGTCCGAACTATATTCACTTACACTTTCGTCTTCTAAAACTTCATTTAAAACTTGCATTTCTTCAAGCTCCATGCGCGCACGACTTGTTGAAGGGCCAGCCATGATGCCTATGAGGTCAGGCATTTATATTTAGACTCCCAGGCATGGCTTGCTGGAATGTAGCGTTCTTGCACAGCTGCAGCGTTGCCGCTACATAAACAGAGAACTCGCTGGAATGCAGCGTTGCCGCTACATGGACAGAGAGCTCATTCTTTTCACAACAGGCCAGTCACTAGAAACCTCATCGCGCAGGCGTTATTCGTTCCATACTTATGGCCTGTAGAAACAAATGAAGATAAACGTTCCTAAACTCATGCTAAGAACGGATCCTCAGTGACCCAATAATCGATTTATCGCGCTGTCCTCAATGTCTGTGCCAATGCCAATCTGATGTGCAAATTTTTGTGCAAAAATATGTACGTCGCTTATCGCAAATTCATGAAAAATATTAAACGACTATAAAAATGTATGCCAAGAGTTTCCATGCTTCAATTATCTGCTTTTACCTAGCCAGGCTAATGGAACAAATAAATACACTACGTTTAAGAACAAATTCAAACTTGACGGTGGGTTGTTGTGCCGTGTAGTTTTGCAGAAGTTTAAATCGTGTGGATAAACATGTTTTAGGCACCCTGAGGCTGAAAACATTGTTTTTCATCATACCACACTAGCATGAACTGTCCTGATACATCATTTGAGTTTGTTTTGTTCATATTCTTCATGAGTTTCAAACGTACACGTGTGTGCCTTACAAATACGAATGTTATAATTTAAAAATTAATTGTCGTTTGTATGAATATTGGAACACGGTGATTTAACAAAAACATTCCTTTATTAGTAGTAAACGTGGGGCAACATCCCAGAATACAGTCATCGACATATCTGTCTCACACTGAAGTGTGACAACACCAAAACCATAAACCACAAAAGACATCCAAAGCACGTAAACTTTTGTTAAAACACGTAGTGGTGAGTTATGAGCGAGTTACCTAAAACAATTTATCACACATACCATTTTTCGTTTTTACAGTGGGCTAAGACCATGTATCTGTGGAACTGGGCTGTCAATCCCGCAGAGGTGCACGAGAAAACGAAATGACCTTGGGAAAAACCTGTCCGAAGTGCCACTTTGTCCGGTACAAATCCAACGCGGACAGCCCTGGGGTGAAACCCAGGCCTCCGCGGTGACAAGATTTCTACCTGCCCGTACTATGGCATGGCCGGCACACAGAATTACTAATTTTAATTCAGGGGACCA